AAATAACTACAACAAGTAGCCAGGAAAACTCTGGGAAGTAGAATGAGTAAGAGTACTACGTATAAATAGGTAAAATGCTCACTGAAAAAGAACAGAAGTCCAGCAGGGACCCCAAATTATACATAGGCACTAAGTACACCTATAGACAATATTTCAATACTGTTTTAACCAGGTAGCCACCTGGAAGAAAAGTAAAGTTGAATTCCTACACCCCAATACTTTACATAACTTATATTTTGTATGAATAAGTGCATTTAACTTAAAAATAAATTTATAAAAGTACCAGAAAAAAAGACCAAGAATTTTCATTTTCATTAGAAATAGTATTGAAATAGGGAAGACCTTTCTTACGACACAAACCTAAAATCCAAAAGATTGATAATTACAACTACAAAAACATTTTTTAATTTCTGCTGAAAAATATACCATAAACAAGGTCAAATGCCAAACTGCGAAAAATATCTGCAACACATATCAAAAACAAAGAACTAATTTCCTGAAAACAGAGAGTTCCCATAAACCATATTAAATATGCCAACAGAAATATGAACAAAAAAATATAACCAGATGAATAAAAAATATAAGCAGCTGCTATAAATAAAAAAAAGATATGGTTCTCACGCCTACTGAAAAGATGAAAAAAAATATACCTAGTAAATTGGCAATTTAAAAAAGTTTGATAACCCACTCTGTTACCATGGGAAGCCAGCACTCCCAAAATCCATAGTAGAACATAAACTGGTACGACCTTTGTGGAGGGCAGTTTGGCAATATCTGTCAAAATTTAAATAGTACATATGTCCTTTGACCCCACAATTGTGCTTCTAGGAATTTATTCTAAAGACAGACTCACTCATGTGCAATATTATGTATTGTGTTGTTGGAAAAGTCATGACACACTTTTGCAACAAAAAACATAGAAAAAAATACATCATGACTTTTCCGACAACCCAGTATGTGTACAGGGATATTCACTGTATCATCATTTGCATTAACATGACTATAAACATTTTAAGTGTTCATTCAAACAAAGAAATGCTACCATTTCTCTCTCTCCTTCCCTCTCCACCCCATCTTTCTGGAAAGGATACACAAGAAATTTATAATTGACTGCTTCTAGGGAAGGAAGCCAATTAGCTGGGGTCAAAGGTAGAAGGACAACTTGACTTTTATTGTATGCTTTTTTGTATCATTTGAATTTTATATCATGAACATACATCGCATTTAAAATTTTTAAGCTAAGATTTTCAATATTTTTATCCAGTTTTACCAATCGTTATATTGTTCCTCCTCTTTGTCAGTTTTCCAGTTCCTACCCTAGCAACCATGGTGTTTTGTTTTGTTTTTTAACCTGTTTTCCCCATTAATACTGTACATAGTATTTAATCAAATTCACCTAGTTAAATAACAATAGTAACTAGGGTTCCATTATTCCCATGATCTTCTTGCCCCTGAGCTCTGCCTTTGCATACACACTCTACAGAAAGCACTGTTTCCCGTTCTTTACTTCGTGAATGGAGATTATGAGTTAGTAAAAATCCAGGACCAAGAAGCTATGAATTTCTTGGCCTATGGGGCAAACAGATAATCACTATTGTATTTTAGGAGACAGCGAAAAGGCAAGAAGCTGCTCAAACAAGGTTTCACAAAATATCATTTGTGCTGTCACCATAGGTGCAGAGTCTAGTCCACTATTTTTTATATTTAAGAACTTGCTTTTATCTATTTGTCCAGTCAATAGAGCTGTAGGGAACTGAACTACGCTAATCAATGAAATCCACAAGAAACTACTTGCTTACACATAATGCCAATGTATTTACAATTTAAAAATATATATGTATATATGTATAAGTACGCGTGTATACACATATACTTGGTGTGAGTGTGTGTGGTGTCAAAAATAACATATACATATTTTAAGAAAGGAAAAAGCTATTAAAATTGTAATACTCAATATATACCGATAACAAAAGATGAATACAAGTCACGTTTGACTTCTGCAATGACAAGAGGTGCTCAAAGTGGTTCCCATCAGCGTCCAGACACTTCTGATTACAGTGAACTACTGCTTGAGCAACGCTGACCAAAGTTGTCACTTGCATACATTTTTTTTGGCACCCGTGGTATATATCTCAAGAGTATCAAATCATGCGTATCAAGGACTCACACACAAATGGTAAGTATACCCAGGAAAACCACATGGTGCTATGAGTGTGTATGGGGAGAAGAAAACATACTGGAAGGCCCCAGAAGGCTTCCTGAGAAACACAGTGTGATCAAGCAGAGATCCAAAGAGTGGGAAGTTAAAAAAAAAGAAAAAGAAAGAAAGAAAGAAAGAATAGAATGAGGAGTAAGAGGGTTCCTGGATGATGGGATAGCATGTGCAATGGCCTTGTGGCAGAAGGGCCATATGTCTGAGGAGGTGGGAAAAGATCAAAGAGCAAGACCAGATGATGTGGATTAACTAGAGAGAGAGGGGCCAGACCATGTAGTGCCTTTTAGGTCATGTTAAGGATTTCTGCTTTATCCTAAGAGCAGTAAAAAGCTAGTAAAGGGTTGTAAGCAGAGATGGGAACAGATCTGTGCTTGCGAAAGATCAGTATGCTATACAAATTGCAGGCAAGAGTAGAAGCAGGAAGGCTGCTTAGAAATCTACTGCAGAAGACCTAAGTGAGGAGGGATGCTGGCAGCAGCATCTGGACTGGAGTTAGGTTAGAAATAAAACAGGACTTGGTGATTGGTTACACCTGAAACGCAAGGGAGAGGAAAATGTTAAGGATGCCCAAGTTTCAGATTTGCACAGCTGCATGGATAATGATGCTATCACTGAAACAGAGAGAGAGCCACCCTCCAGGGAGACCAGATTGTTTTGTTTTGTTTCACTGAAGACTGGATAGAGATGCGCAAAAGGAAAGAAAGGGATGTGGGTGCTTGGTATCTGGAAGTCTTGGTAGAAAAGGATGAAAAATAGAACATGGGATTAGAGTTCAAAGGAGAAAGAATGTTAGCTACAAAAACTTAATTTCTTTTTTTACCTCCAGGGTCAACCATAAAACATGCCTACACATGTCTATCCTTCCCCATCACCTAAAATCTTTTTAAACATCTCAAATAAAACCGTTCAATCAAGGGGGGGAGGGGAAGCTTAAAATGCAACGCTTAGGAAAATAAAACATTGGTGTGAAAGAATGTCAAAGTACATATTGAGATATCAGATGTCCCCAATTCTGAGGGTGAAGAAAAGATGGAGGCTGCCTACTTGGGGGAGGAAGAATGAAGTGCCAGTCAAGGGAAGAAGGAAGCCGAAAGAAGAGGCTGATGACCCCATAGCATGAATTTTCAGTTGAAACACGTTTATCTTTACCTCTGGACAAACGGCTGTTCTTGGCCTTGTGTGCTAAGGGAATGCAGGAATAATAGCTCCACAACGGAGCCCCTTATCAGAAATCACGGCTTGCGCTGCCATCAGGTGGTGGCAGTGAGCAAGTGCACCAACCAGGGTCTTAGAGCCTGGAAATGTCTATATGAAGCCCATGGTAGAATTAATCTAAGATCAAAGACCTCAAGATTGCACTAGTAGAGGGCAAGCTGGTGACAGTCTTTGGTAAGAAATTTATCTTCTAATCTGTTAATACACAAAAATATAACTTTTTGCTATTTATTTGGGATAAGAAAAAAGACTTTTTTGTTGTTCTTTTTCATGTTGAAGATCACATATTTAGCAATTCTAGAATACCCAGGCTGATACTATCATCTCAAACCTAATTCCTGATATATTACACATTTGACTATTTAAAACTGCTTCAATGTTAATTTTGTTAAAGCATAACAGTGAGTTAATGTGCATTTCTAGCAGACATCAATAACCTCATCACAAACATAAGCAATTGTTTCATAAGCAAAATTCCCTTTGTTATCTTCAAATTAATCAAATAACAATTTTTTACTTATTAGAAGTACAAGGCACGGTAGTAAACACAATTCAAAAAACATCATGTTCTCACAATTCATCAACTAAACAAATATATCACTGATAAAATTCAACATTATTCACACACAAAAATGGTGAACGATTAACACATCATTCCTGATAGCGCTTCATGATAAAAATAAGCTTGCCCAATTAATATCTGACATTCTGTGCAGTATTTACTTCCCTACATTCTTTCTACTACACTGAATATTCACTTACAAATGTATCTCTTTACAATTGTCTGCACACACGATATATCGATTTGACTTGTCTTTGTTTTTTAAGGCATCTGAACTCGAGGCTAGGGGATTGTAGGCCAAAACGTTAAATAATCACATTGGATACATTTTTCCAATTCTCAAGCAACTGTGTTTATGTAGTACAGCATAATTTTATTACTAAGTATATTGTTGATCTTCCTCTCCTTAAAATCCAGACACACTATCCATTCTGTCTCTGAACATTCTAAAATAGTATTAATTCAACTAGTTTCCCCTAATTCTCTTGGTTCAGTTTCCCACCCACCTCCTTAATACCCCCCCCCAATCCTCCTTTCTTGTTTCAGAATGCCTAACTCTAACTCGGGGTGGTTTTTACAAAAATCACTCTTTGGAGTGCTCTACCCTCTTCTCTCCTCAATTTAGCACCCTTTAAAAAATAATTTCCACTGCTAGGCGCCAATGTCTTTCGTTTACAAGATCAAACTGCGGAAGAGGACGAGACTGGGGAACCGAGTAAGCGAAACATTTGGGAATGTCAACGAGACAGTGGCCTCTCCTTTGAAAACACAACTCTCTACACAGAGCTTCCAACAGGGCAAAAATACTTTTTTTTTTTTCGCTCTGCTCCTCCTTTCCCCTCCTGACCTCAAAGACACCTTTCCTTTTCTCTAAGCCCCAGTCCCTGAGCTATACGTGGGGCCTGCCTTTCCTCCTCCCAAGGGAAAGAAAGCCAGGGAGAAAAGAAAAGGTAGCAGTCCCCGTCCCGCCGCGTCCGCGAGCAGTCAGGACCACGTCCCACGACTCACCTGGCAGGTGCGGCCGCCCGGAGAGTTGCACGAAGCGGTTGAGCTGGCCAGTCCCCCGACCCCCGCTGCCCCCGCTGCCCCCGCCGGCCCCGCTACCTCCGCCGCCGCCACCACTGCCCGCGGCGCCTCCTCCCCTCCGGCGGTTCCTGTCCCAGCCCTGGGCGGCCGACATGACCCGCTAGCGATTGCCGCAGCCGCGTCCCGGCAGCCCCTGGCCCGCCGGCACTAGCCGAGCCTCCTTCCTGGGCTCCTCTAGAGACCCGGGAGACAGGGAAAGGGGGAGCGCCCGGTCTACGCCATAGACCAATGGCTTGCTGACTTGGTGACAGGCAGCCAATGGCCAGTCGTCTACTTGGCTAGTGGAGGGAGGCGGGGAGAGACGTGGTAACCATAGCTATGGTTAAAAAAATGGGAGGGGGGGGAGGAAGGCGGAAGCAGTCACTCCTCGCTCGCATCCACCGCGCTGAGCAACCCCGCGTCGCGGCGAGTCCTGCGGGGTCAGGCGGGCCAATCGAAGGCCGAGTGAGAGAGGCCACGCCTGCAGAAAGCGCCCCGGCGGCAGCCAGGGCTTCAGGCACGGTCGGGGTTCAGGAAGTCTCACCCGTAAATACCGAAATCAGGAATTGGATATGCACATAGTACGCCTAGGTGGGGACAATACAGTATTCTGCCAGCTTTGCAGACTGAGATCGCTTTCCCTGACCGTTGACACACACAAAGGGCTCTCTTGGGAGGGGGAAAAATCCAGTCAAAGCTTACATGTAAGAAGGAGGTATTCCTGGGTTTCATTTCTCGTCTTTCAGTGGATTGGATGAACTCCCTAATTCAATATAAGCCACGTCCCAAGCAAAATCTGGTTAGCAAACACGGAACAATGTACAGGCTCGCCAGTAGTCATAGAAACACCAATGAAGACCTCCCCCCCCCCCATGAGAAACCATTTCTGACTCATTACGTTACTAAAGATTTCTCAAGTAACAAACACCCAACAGCGAGTAGAGTGCCAAGAGAAAGGTATTTTCATAGGTGACTGACGGCTATGGAAATGTTTTTGTTCAATCAAACCCCTTTCGCTCGTAGAAAATTGGAATCAGCTTCAAGACCGGAACAGGTATGGAACTTCCAGGTCGAAGAAAAATGTAGATCAGAAAATGTAGAGATTAGAAATGTACAGATCAGAAATTCCCATTGTTCCAAAACCAAACAGAAAATGTGGCTTTGAACTTACTGAGCGCGGTGCAAAGTGGGAAAATACAGATTGTTCACTGATGTTTATGAATGATAAAGGGAAAGGATATAAATTCCGCAAGACGAAACTTTTCAAGGTTCTTAGATCTGTGGGGTTGTTTTTTTTTTCATGATGTTTCATATGGGAGAACCTTCCGCGATGAAGAGGAAAAAGAGAAAACCTGCTGGGGCTGAGGATGCACACCTTTTGGTGCAAATTTCATGTCGCCACTGACCCCGCCTCCTTTAGTTTCCTACCTCAGTCCCTGTGGGCAGGTGTTTTACCCGTTAAGCACTATAGCGCACTGCTTACGAAAATATTCGAGACCTGAAAAAAAGTCTACGGCTCTAAAATATAAAAATCAAAATTAATAAATGTTAATTTTCTGAAGAAATACTATTGAGTAGTAAAGGAAATTTTCTTTTTACAGGAGTACGTAGTCCAAGTACTAAAGAGTGAATGATAGAATATTGCCATTTTGTAGCCCCTAATGAATTGAGAGATCAAGCCATTGAGCACCAGCCACTACTAACATCACAAAATGAAAGATGAGACGTGTCTGTAGAACATAAACAGGACTATGAAGTAAGTCGTCTTGTAGAAAAACATTGAAACTGAATCTCTACAGACATCTATATCTAACTACCAATTTACAGAAAGTACAGAGGACAAAGAACATTTTTAAAAATACTGCAGAGATGCAAACAGCAAAATCCAGACTATGGGAATTGAACAGGATAAACAAGCAAGTTTCTTCAACAAATAAATTGCAAGGAGAAAGAGGGATTTGGAGGGGAAAATCTATAGATTAAAAAGAGACTTGTGAAGGTTGAATAACTGTGAATATACTAAAAATCACTGACTAGTAATGGTTGCACAACTTAGTAAATATATTAAAAAACCACTGAAGAGTACACTTGAAAAAAGGTAAATTTTATGGTATGTGAACTATATTTTAATAATACAGAAAAGGAGAAGTGAATGAGGAGCTAGATGAAATAACATTAACCATAAGTTGAAGCTGGGTAATAAGTACATGAGAACTGTTCATTATACTGTTCTGCCTACCTTTGTATGTATTAGAAGTTTCTCATAATCTAAAGGAAACAAAGAGTCTACAACAATAAGATTATATTAACCAATCAACTGACAACCAACTCATATAGTTTTTTATATATATAACCAATTTTAACTTTCAGAAACAAAATGTAAGACTTATTCTTAACTAAATTTAAAGTTACTAAATTATTTTAAAAGCTTTTTAAAAAGGTTACAGCCAAATTTTTTAACGTGGAATGTGGGTACACTTTGATGAAGTATTGACAGGATTTGGAGAAGGACCTTCAAAATAAGTGCATGCAGACAATATGTACTAGCTAACATGATGTAACATGAAGTACACAATATCACCTATGAAGTAATAATGCCAAAAATGTAAAATTGAATCTAATCAATATTTAAGCTATAACGTCCAGTTACAGAACTTTCAGGGGACAAAGGAACAAGTTAAACGACATGTGAAACAATCAAACACATGCAGGGGACAATCTCCACAATATCTAGCCTGGCCTTGTCAATAAGTCATGAAAAACAAAATAAGGGCGGTAATCCCTAATCTAAATAATAGATCTAGGCCATGATAATCAATGGCTCCGAGCACAACAAAAAAGAACACCCAGACATTATGTGTCTGCTGACAGAAGTACACACAATCATCATGGAGTCTTACCAAAAAAATGAATCTGAATAAATCAAACCTTTGACTACCAGTTTACAGAAAATAAAAAGGGCAGAGAATATGTTAAATGATTATCTTGAGGATGTAATATGCAAAATATATAATGTGGAAAACTATACAATAAACAGCCTATTTTCTTTAACATATATTTCAAGGAGAACGAGGAAAAGGGAACCTGCAGGTTAACAGAGTTTTAAGAGCATAGCAACCAAATGCCATGTTTGAGCCTGTTCGCATTTTGATTAGAAAGAGCCAACTATTTTTTTAATGGGAAATTTTGACTGGATATTGGATTATATTCAGAAATCATTGCTAACTTTTTTAGGACTCAAGGACTTTTTTTTTTAATGAGCTCTTATCTTTTAGAGAATCATACTTAAATATTTACAGGTAAAATGCTGTAGCTAGGATTTGCTTCAAAATCCAAGAAGGGAGCATGGAAGACAAGATGAGAATGTAGATGAAACAAGGACAGCCATATTGATGCTCAGTGTAGCTGGATGATGGGTACTTGGGGGTTCATTGCACTATTCTCTCTCTCATATATATTTGAATTTTTCCCTCATAAAAAGTTTTTTAAAAAAATAATTCTTAAAAGGACAATTCCAGATTAAAGGGAATTTACAACAAGATATGTGAGGTCCTCTTGAACAAATCAAACTTAAAAGACAACTTCAGGACAATTGGAAAATTTTGATTTTAAAGTTTATTAGAGAATACTGGAGAAAAAAATGTTATATTTATTAGGTGTGATAATTATATCAATAATATATAAGAAAATCTATTTTTTAGAGATGCATAATACATTTTTACAAATGAACTATCGTAATGCCTTGAGACAGCATGGCCATCTCTACCCTCCTGAGGCTCACCCATGAAGTCAGCATGACCAGCGGTAAGAACTCTTGGTTCACACTCAGAAAACAAGTCAGTTGGAATTAGCTGGCCTGCACTGAGAACATTTTCCAGGAAATTCTATTTCATAAATGTTGAATATATACAATGATTCAAACAAATTTCCAGAATTGTTTTACAGCAGATTCTATAATTACAACTTTTAATGTAGTGAGGGAGTAAAGGATTGGGGCAGTGGTGAAAAGTACTCACTATATTATGAAATCTAATTTTATTTATCCTCTTGGAGTCTTAAAGTCAGCACTGTGTAACCCACTGGTTCTCAACCCTGACTGTACATTGGACGAACCTGAAGCCATTTTGGAAAACACTGATGTTCAGGCTCCATCCAGCCATTTGGATCAGAATATCTGAGGCAAAGGCATTGGCCAGATTTTTCAAGTTCCCCAAATTATTCTAATCTACAGCCAGGGTTGAGAACACAAGTGTAATCCTCTGTTCACCAGTTTTATCATGTGCAAAATGGCAGTAATGTCTTGTTTTAGCAGCATCTCAGTTATTGTGAAAGATCAATGAAATGGTACATGTGAAAGTATGGGCAAGTATAATGTTTTATGTAAATATAAGGTCATAGTCTCATGTTAGCAATCAGTGTGTAGCAATCCTTTCAAAATGTTTACTTCTTGCACTGTTGGTTATTTTGTTGCAGATTAAATATGACCCAGGATCATACAAATTCCTTGGTGACGAGTCAAGGGTAATTAACTGCTTGTCATCAGCTCAGATAAAACTAGCACTGATATTGAGAAGCCTAAAGTAATGAGTCTTTAATTTACTTAATTATGAAAATTATAATCATTTACACATATAAGCATTACATATATAGATGTCATAGAAACAAAATGCAAACTGTAGCTCAGGTTAAGTTTGGCTGCCCAAGGAAAAGAAGGATGAAGGCTCGCATTTATTTATCACCTTTTATGAACTAGACACTTTTTTTTTTTAAGATTTTTATTGGGGAATTGGGGGGATGGGAACAGTGCTGGGGAATTGGGGGAAGGGGAACAGACAAGTTTCTGTCCTTTTGTTCTTCAGTCTAGTTGTGGAGGATGTTGCTTCACTGGCCCAAGTTGGTACCATCATTGCGCTCTTCCCGAGTGAGGCAGATCAGTCGCCGGCTTCTGGACGACCACTCATGGGGCTGCTGGCCACTCACACTGGCTGCTGGCTACACACGGTAGCCCATGGCAACCCACTGCAGTAGGGGCTGCAGCCTACGCTGTCGCCGGGGACTCACAGCAGCCCAGCTCCAGGTTGAGCTGTTGTTCAGCATCTTAGCTGTAGAGGGCAGTGTCACTGCCCCTCATATGTGGGATCTGAACCGGGGCCCTCTGGCGTCCCAAGCCAGCTCTTAACTATCGCGCCACTTGGCCGGCCCTGAACTAGACACTTTTATGTGTATTATCTTTTTTTTAATGGGAAGATTAACCCAGCATAGTATTTTTGAAACTTTAAGTCATGAAATCAGTGTAGTGGGTCACAACTAGTATTTTTTTAATGAAATACAGTGGGAAAAGAAGAATAAAAATGTAAGAGTGCAAGAAAAAACAGGGAGTACAACGGGACCAGAAAGGTCTTGAAACGCCTCACCTCTAGGTGTTCAAGTTGAAAGGGCCTGCTCTGGAGGACTGGATGGGCTGTAGAAACCTTAGCTCCTTCCTCACAATGTTCAGGCAGACATTTAATCAACATTAGGGCAGATAACCAATGTGTTTAGACACGTCACAAGACTGGAAGAAAATATTTACAAAAGATGTATCTGATATAGGGCTGTTAACCAAAATATGCAAAGACCTCTTAAAATTCAACAGTAAGAAAACAACGTCTCACTCAATTAATAAATGGGCTCATAAAAAATGGGCAAAAAAGCTAACAGATACCTCACAAAAAAAGATATGCAGAGGGCCGGCCGAGTGGCTCAGTTGGTTAAGAGCTCGCTCAAGAGTGCGAGCTCTGAGCAACAGCGGTTCCATTCCTGGCCCGAGCTGAGCTGCCAACAGATGGCAGGATGGCTCAGCTAAAACAACAACAACAACAACAACAACAACAACAAAAGATATGCAGATAGTAAATAAACATATGGAAAGATGTTTAACATCATATGTCATTAGGGAATTGAAAATTAAAACAATAATGAAATACCACTACACACCTATTAAAATGGTTAAAATCCAAAACACTGACAACACCAAGTGCTGACAAGGATGCGGAGCAACAGGAATATCATGCATTGTTGGTGGGAATGCGAAATGGTACAGCCACTTAGGAAGACAGTTTGGCAGTTTCTTAAAAACTAAACATACTCTTACCATACCTTGGTATTTACCCAAGGGAGTTGAAAACTTATGTCCACACAAAAACCTGCACACGCAGATGGTTATAGCAGCTTTATTTATAATTTCCAAAACTTGGCAGTGACCAAGATGCCCTATATACAGGAATGGATAAACTGTGGTAGATCCGTACAATGGAATACTATTCAGCGCTAAAAAGAAATGAGCTATCAAACCATGAAAAGACATGGAAGAAACTTTAAATCATATTACTTAATGAAAGAAGCCAATCTGAAAAGGCTACCTGCTGTTTAATTCCAACTATATGACATTCTGGAAAAGGCAAAACTATGGTGATAATAAAAAGATCAATGGTTGCCAGATTTATGTTTTCAAAGATCACTCCAGGGACCGGCCGAGTGGCATGTTGGTTAAGAATAGGCTTGGGACCCCAGCTCTGAGCAGCAGAGCCCTGGTTCAGTTCCCACATGTGACGCTGTGACGCTGCGCCCTCTACAGCTAAGATGGTGAACAACAGTTCGATCTGGAGCTGGGCTGCCGTGAGTCGCCGGTGACGGCGTAGGCTGCAGTGGGGCTGGTTGGCAGCAGGCGTGAGCTTTCATGAGCTGCTGTGAGTGGCCGTCCAATGGCCGGCGAGCAACTGCCTCAGCCGGGAAGAACGCAATGATAATACCAACATGGGCCAGTGAGGCGACATCCTCCACAACTGGACTGAATAACAAAAAGGACAGCAACTTGTCTGTTCCCCTCCCCCTGTTCCCCAATAAAATCTTAAAAAAAAAAAAATCACTCCAGGGGCAGTCGATTAGCTTAGTTGGTTAGAACACGGTGCTCATAACGCCAAAGTTGCCAGTTCAATCCCCATGTCCTCCACAACTAGATTGAAACAACTACATGACTTGGAGCTGATGGGTCCTGGAAAAACACACTGTTCCCCAATAAAAAAAATTAAACAAACAAACAAACAAAAAAGGTAGAATGAACATTACTCAATATTAAGAAATACTGTTCTAGGGCTAGACGAGTGGCTCAGTTGGTTAAGAGCTCGCACTCTTAAGCAACAGCAGTTCGAGTCCTGGCCCGAGCTGAGCAGCTGCTGAGCTGCCAACAGGTGGCAGGATGGCTCAGCTAAAAAAAAAAAAGAAATACTGTTCTACCAAATTCTCCTTCTTGCTTAAGTTAAATTGGTTTTGTTACCTGAAGCCAATAAAATCCTAACTAATACCCTACCTCTAGAGTTGTAAGAAATAGTTGCAAACCATAAAGTACAATACAAATGTGAGATATTTACTACCCAAAGTAGATTAAGAAATGCTTTTTTATTACTCAGCTGGGAGAGGTGAAATAAGATAATAATATGTAAAGTTGTAATACTCCCAAGATTAGCCCAATAGCCATAAGGGTAACTATACTGCGTCTTTAAATTATATTTTAATTTTTAAAATAATGAATATGTCCTTGTTATGTAATCTTCCATAAATATACAGAAAATGTGAAACTCTCCACCCGATCCTACTCCCCAACCCAAAAGGCTGTTAGCAGTTTGATGGCCATCCTTCCAGATCTTTTTCTATGTATTTACATACACATATGTGGGCCTATGCAGGTATTCTATTTTAGTTTGTACATAAATGGGATTATACAGAAAGTATTCGGCAGACAGCTTTTGTCTTTTTTTTACAGAATATGTCTTAGATATATTGTTATAATTTTTTAACAGGACTTCCTTATTCTTTTTTAACCTGCAGCCATTTTTCTTTCCCCTTTGGTGGCAACATTAAGAATGAAGACCTCCTACCCCCAAGACAGCACAATGTCTTTTAGAATGTAAGTTTACAAACACAGCACAAAACACAAAGGTGTTAAAGAAATCCAAGGACTTCAAATAAATTCAAGCAAAGATGGAGTTCCCTTCAGCCCCTGAACAATCTTTCACTTCAAAAAACAAAACAAACAGGCCTGGCCGAGTGGCTTAGTTGGTTAAGAGCACGAGCTCTGAGTAACAGGGTCGCCAGTTCGACTCCCACAAGAGCCAGTGAGCTGTGCCTGAGCTGAGCTACTGCTAAGCTGCCAGCAGGTGGCAGGGTGGCTCAGCTGGTGAGAGCACGTGCTCCTAACAACAAGGTTGCCGGTTGAACTCCCACATGGGATGATGGGCTACGCCCACCGACAACTAAGATTGAACACGGCACCTTGAGCTGAGCTGCCCTGAGCTGCCGATGGGTGGCTGGATGGCTCAGTGGTTACAGCGTGCGCTCTTAGCAAAAAGGTTTCCAGTTCGACTCCCACATGGGATGGTGGGTTACGCCCACCCGCAACTAGGATTGAACATGGCACCTTGAGCTGCTGATGGGCGGCCGGATGGCGACTGGACTTGCAGCTGAACTAGCTGCACCCTCCACAACTAAGATTGAAGGACAACTTGGCTGTTCCCCTTCCCCAATAAAACCTTTAAAAACAAACAAACAAACAAAGAAATAGGGGTTAGGAGGGGGAAATTTCTCATAAACGTCAACGTCTGAGTGGATGTGGGAATACATGGATGCGTACATACACAGCTGTTTAGGCCAAAATCAGCTTCCTCCTTGAAAGCAATTCTCTTACCTGTTATACCTGTATAACCCATTACTAAGTCCTGTTGTTTCTAGCTCCAAAATGTATCTTGAATCTTCCCACTTTCAGCTGTCGCCACACCCATCATCATCTTCTGCAGGGGCTTCTTTAGCAGCCTCCTAATGGTCACTCCATATCCTCTCTTGGCTCCAATCCACTCTTCACATAGTCTTTATGATGATGTTTCCCCAAATGCACAACTATTCGTGTTACTGTGCTGCTTACGGTCTTTCAATGGCTGTCTTTGGATTTTAGGATAAAGTCTGAATCCTTTAGAAAGGTTACATACAGTCATTTAAAAATGGTTTATTGAGTGTCTACTCTGTTCCAGGCACTGTTGTAAACACAGGATACAAAAATGAAGAAAGACAAAACTCCTACTCTTGAGATTATAAAGATTATACTCAAATGGAGACAGGGAGAGAGAGAGAGAGAGAGAGAGAGAGAGAGAGAGAGAGAGAGAGAGAAATAAACATAATAAGAGAAGTATATATTATGTTATAGGAAGATAAGCACTATAGAGGACAACAAAGCAGAGTAAGTAGAAGAATCCCAAGGGTCTGTGTGGGAAGAGGGGGAGTTGCAAGTTAATAGAGAATGGTCAGGGTAGGTCTCATAGAGAAGGTGACATCTGAACAAAGAAGTCACAAAAAATTTAAGGATGTGAAAGAGTGAGCCATGTGGGTATCTGAAAGAGCAGAGGGAACAGAGAATGCAAATGGTAAACTTTCAGAGGTCTAAGTGTGTTTGGGGGGGTGGGGGGGCTGTCCTGTGCATCGTAAGATGTTTAACAGAATCAACCACCTCTATGACCACCCCAGCTTTAACAACCAAACATGTCTTCAGAAATTGCCTAATGTCCCCTGGGAGGCAAAAATGCACCTGTTTGAGAACCACCGATCTATAGTTACAAGAGGGAAGGCAAAGTACTATCAGAGGATGATAAGACTACTCAATATAGGAAATGAAAAGACAAAGCTGAATTTATTGCTTCCTAGGTACAGTGAGAGCCATGCTGGTCAGGCACAGGCTTTAAGCAGACCA